AAAACTTATCACGGAAGTCTTATGTTTGTAACATTTGGCGGATAGCTTTCTTAAAGTTAGATGTGCTGGTCAGTGTTTTGATTTGTAGTGGTAATTTGTTCCAAATTCAGGGGTTTGAAATTCAGATGTCAAATCGATAATTTCGTAGCCTTACCAGCGGTCAAAAAAAATCGGTGGGTTTTTGTTTTTGGTAGGGCCGGAACCTGAAACACAACATTTTTTTTCCTCAGCCTGGTCGAAGTTACCGCGGGTTCACACCGACCTTCTGAAGACAGGAATAGGCCAGTGTTTGACGTGCGTGGTTGTGTCATGGCGTCTCTGGTACTTCCCGCCAAATGTTGGAAACGTTCCATATGTGTACAGTACAACAGCTGAAGCATTGTTTATACAGATGATCCACTTTCACTAGCACTACTGATGACTGGTGACTTACATGATTATACTTCATGAAAAAATTTACATGTAAGATGAAGTTTATTTGAGGTCTGGAATAATTTTCCAATTATGTTTAAGGTATAGATTAACACAAATAAAGTTAATGCATAGATAGTTTTATTTTTTTTTACTCCACGGAAAAGTTTAATTATAAGATGAAGTTTATTTCTAAAGTAACAGGCTGTATGATTAAGGTAACGTATAGATTAACTCGACTTTCTTAAAATTTGTATGTTATTACATTTTCTTCTGGAAGACTATCGCAGTTGAAGACACATTTTTTTCAAGTTTAAATATCGATTGAGTAGAACTTCTACGGCTGAATGTAATCAATTCAGTCAATATTATGTCAAAATAGCTACTTGTATTTGATTTCCTTGTTTATGTCAAAATAAAATATTGACGGTCTAGGAGCGGAAGTATATGGTTTTATCAGTCATGTACATGTAATTACAACAACACAGGTCCGTAAACAGGCGGATATACACGTGGGTGTAGGGTAATAACACAGGAAACGTTTATTCAACTTGACGTAAATCCATCAAATCCATCAAGAAAAGGGAAAGTCCCAGTCGGGAAAATTTCCTGCAAACTCACTGACGATGAGTGAGAAAGACACCGTCAGAATCGCAATTACACAAAGGGGGAGGGGGCGGTGCAAATAAACAGTAAGCTCAGATCAACCACGTCAGTAGCCTGGTATCCAGTCTGATTCACGTGGTCGGGGCCGCGAGAGCTCTGTCCCGCCCGCCTCACATAGGTTTCCCGGTGTGTATTTCACGAGAGATTGATTAGCCCTGTTACGCCTCTTATTAGCGTAACACTCCTACCGGGACGGTCTGTTGCACTGGGCGGGGGAAGCTATTAGAGCCCCCGAAGGCACAACCTGCCTGAACACCCCAATAGGCAATATCCCCAATCACCTTATAAGGCCATGTTGATTTGATTATATGGATGACATCCTCTGGGAACCCCAAAACTGATGCGCGCGTGCGAATAAAAAAAAAGTTTTGCAAAAAAAAAAAGTTGCTTTCACTATGAAATCTACGTGGTCAAGAAGGTGGAACAAATGGCACAGAATATGTTATGGCGAATAATTTACTCTTCGAATTTATTTTTTTACATTTTTGTCCTTTTTCCTTTGATTTTGGCATTCTACGACATTGGTATCGTTTCTAAATGTTTTCCTTGCAACTTATGGTATATTTTTGCTCATTTAGCAACTGTTTTGCACGATTTACAGTATGGTTGAAAACTTCTTTTTTTTTTTTGGAAACGGCCGAAAATTCATGCGCGCGCGGATGTCATCCATATAATCAAATCAACATGGCCTAAGACTGAATACCAGGCTACCACGTCAGGAGATACGGTTCAAAGTCCCTTGTTGAAACGTATGAGTGGCTCGCGCCAGTGACGACAATGGTGTACTCCCGCAGAGTTAGACTCAGCCGGTGTTGGCACGAGTTCAGGAGCCACTATCACTAAGCATGATGTAACTTAATTATCAGTAGATAACTCAATATCCGACTGACTCTGTGAGTGTGAATGTCAACATTGTGGGGAACACAAAGTTTCCGCTGTCAAAGCATGCAGCATGACTTGTTCAGGGGTGCCAAAGAGTTCATACGATCCATTACTAGAAACATACGAATTTTACGGAATACATACGATCCATTACTAGAAACATACGAATTTTACGGAATACATACGATCCATTACTAGAAACATACGAATTTTACGGAATACATACGATCCATTACTAGAAACATACGAATTTTACGGAATACATACGATCCATTACTAGAAACATACGAATTTTACGGAATACATACGATCCATTACTAGAAACATGCGAATTTTACGGAATACATACGATCCATCATTAGAAACATTCGAATTTTACAGAATACATACGATCCTTACTATCTGGTGACTTGCGCTACGATTCTCATCCTAGCCCTTAATTCTATTTGGTTTAGAATACAGGATAATTCTTTGGCACTCCTCAAAGTAATTTACATTTTACGATTCTGATTGACGCTCTGTTGTATATATTGTTAGTTTGGGTTGGTTTATTGTTTTTCCGTTCATTATTTCATAGTTTTGCATGTTATTCTATACAGGACACACATGTAAAGAAGTGTGGTAACCACTGAGCGCGTCCATCGTGTATAAAGAAAAATAAATAATTAATAAAAAGTGACTGTCAACTGTTGATACATGTACAAAATAAATTATCACGAGAAAAAGTGACTTGTGACTTAAACCTTAATCGTCATTGCCATGATATATTAGTACTGATATCACTGGTACCAGACTGTTTCTCGGGGCAAAAAAAAATTTAGTAACATCTATCACACGGCCATAGGCCCTGGAAACAGTCTGGCATCCAGGCTAAGTTACTAACAGACTCTGAATGCAAGAAACCGTGCCCTAAGGAACACAGAACAGCACAAATTTCGTTGTTTTCAAAACCGCCGCCGTATGTTTACAAAACACACACACTGGTACTACCGTTTACCAGTCACCCTACTCCTGATGATGACCTTTGACCCTAACTACTGTTGGTACAGTGAAAGTACGTCACCTCAGTTTGAGTTTCCAGGCTATTCCAAATACTTTTTGTGGTTTGTGTCACCCTCAGCTGTACATGTATGTAGTCGTACTGTGTAATCAGTATTTTGTAAGTGATTCGGAAGACCAAATTAAATCTGAAAAGCCTTAGTGCACCCGTGTGAGAAACAGTTATGTGGATAAAAAAACTGTTATGATCACATTCATTCATATTTGTTTATCTATCTAAAGAACAAATATACAGTGCCACCGATTTTGACATGCAAGTTCCATCAACACTTTTACACAATGCGACAGAATGTTCGAAGTTTTAAATCTACATAACATATTGTTTCTGGCTTATATATAGTCCTTCTTTCAAATTATAATATTTAAAAACATTTTCAGTGAATCAGTATTGAGTATTCTGTCGAGCTAGCGACGTTTGTTTTTTCTTATCGCAGTCGTCCGTAAACCACTAAGTAGCCCAAATAGCCGCAATTCCGTACAGGTAATAACCCTTTACTTCCGAGAAGTCTCGACATTCTTACAGCTCAACACTACCTGCGTCCTGTGTCTTTCCAACACCTTAAGATCATGTATCCCGTGACTAAACTTTTCTTCCTTTGTGTCACCGCGTCGGTAGCGTTTTCGAAGAACTCTGTGGAAGTCAACGACGTGGTGGTCCAGACAGAAGGTGGGTCACAACAGGTGTCTGATGGTATGTGGGTGTGTTTAGCGCTATATGAGAACAACATACGGTAACGCTCCCAGGACATATAGCATATCTTATACAACGCTATTTAATAGTAAATGCCGTATTTCTAATTTCTGTCGAATTTTTTCAAGGTAATTTTAAGGCAAGCCGAGAAAAGAAACTCAAAGTAATGTTGAAGGAAAGTTTGTCCTTGGCATAACTGTCTGCAAAGATGATGAAACCCGACGGAATATAAATATTAACACCGTCCATGACTAAGTAAGTAAACAGCATGGGGTCATAAATAGCCACAAACCACAAGAGCTGTAGGTTCTATGTACGTTATTCTAGACAGGAAACAATAGCCTCTACCAGGCTTTGGGAGGTGGCTGGAAAGGGTAGAGAGGACATTTTTTCGGGTGCGGCAAAATGTACTCTTTAGCAGACCCTCTCTCTCGGCATATTATCAATTCCAACTTTCCACAAAAACTGTACACCTTTTATATTACGTCCTACTAGTTTTATCCTGGTGGTTAACATATAAACCTTTCCAGGTAATGCGATCGTTGAAGAAATAACTACCGAAAATATCACAACACCGACAACGGTGACCTCTGGCGATGACCACTACGTCGAGTGTCCACCCATGTTTGATGGCTACTGTTTGCACGGTGGGACCTGTCTCTACCTGCCTGACCACCCGGACCCCAACCAGCGGCCACTCTGCCGGTAGGGACGGCCTGCAGTTTTTACCTTCGCCAAGAAGGCTATGTTTTTAGAGGTGTTCGTGTGTGTGTCTGTATGTCTGTAAACAGGATAACTCAAGAAGGCTTTAATGGATTGTCTTGATATTTGGTAGGTAAGTAGGTCTCGATTAGATCTCAAAATGGTTACATTTTGGGCCTCCTAGCGGCTTGTTATGGTACTGCGGCTGAACTTCCGGTTTTGATATCTCATAATCTACAAATGGCTTCATACTCGTATCAGAGAAAGGTAACAGTGTACGTACATATGTACACATCTACGAGGCTGTACGTGTATATAGTTGGTAATTTTTGAGCCGGAAAAAATCTTTACTGAAAAAAAGCTGAAAGGGGTTTGAAAACTGCACATCAATTGCAAAGTTGTGGGATGAATGACTTGAATTTTTTTTAATAACTATCATCACTTCAATCAAAAGTGACCTTTTCATATCCTCACCACAGCTGCACCCCTGAATACACGGGGTCTCGCTGCCAAGTGGGTAATATCAACACCCGGCGGGGCATGTCAGCCGGGCCGAGCTCAACATCCAACCATGCCGTCATGATCACCGCTGTCTCCGGCGTACTGTCCGTGGTGTCCGTGGTGGTTTTGCTGGGGGCAGTTTTCCTAGGCTGGAGGTGAGTGGTACAACTTTCTTAAAGCCACACCAATTTAATTTGTCGGTTCTCGGATTCGCCTCTTCATTTTTTTCTGAATTGGAAAAAAAACACATTCTGGTTCTGAATCAACTAAAATGCTCTTATTTTGCCCTCAACAGTTCAGGAAAGTCCTTGTCTTCCTAGTTCCTACAGTTTTCCCATCTATCAATGCAGTGGTTTGATTGAAATTTCAAAATTCATTGTCTAAATATTAACCCAGCCTTTGTGTTGACTTCATGGCTCCTATCGTAGCATTTGGGGGTATAATAGGATGCCTAGACCTGTTATTTTTTTTTATTTTTTTTCACTGTCGCTTCATATTTTTTTCTGAAAAACATCCGAGAACCAACAAATTAAGGTGGTGTGGCCTAAAGATAACTTGCGTAACCTTTCATCTTACTTCAAGTGCCTCTGTATTGTTATTTCTATTTGACTCAAAGCCATCTCTAAAGCTAACTGCTCTACTTTCTCCAGGGTGTACCGCCGGCGTAAGGCTGGTTACGACGTCCAGGCCGACAGTGGTGTGTCACAGGCTGATGACAAAACTGGATACGGGAGCACGACAGCTCTGAACTGACGCGCAGCGAGTCACTGACACATCAGGCGATGTGTCATCAGCAACAACCGGGCCAAACTTATAGCCTGGTATCCAGTCTGATTCGTGGTCGGGGCCGCAAGAGCTCTGGCCCGTCCGCCTCACATAGCTTTCCCGGTGTGTATTTCACGAGAGATTGATTAGCCCTCCACGAAAACCAAATCCCCAAACATACTGTCTCTTATTAGCGTAACTCTCCTACCGGGACGGCCTCTTTAACTGGGCGGGGGAAGCTATTAGAGCCTCCGAAGGCACAACCTGCCTGAACACCCAAACCCCCAATCACGTAAGACTGGATATCAGGCTAGGCCAAACTCCTACAATAAAGCATTTCTGAGAAATGTGTGTCGGTCTGTGCATGGTTTACCTGGAAAGGTTTCACTTATTGTAAAGCAAGTTTGAAGTGCGATAAGGCGGGAGTACAAGAACAAACGGTGATACATCGTTTATTTTATGAAATTAATAGTACGTATATCAAATTACATGGCAGTAGATATTAAATAAATGTTGTTAGTACTTCCAAATATATACAGATCAATACATATAGTACTTGTTAGTACCTTCAAATATATATAGATCTCGTCATATTTCTAGTTCATATTTGGCACAAAAATGCACAAACGTTTATAGCGTTGTGTTCTTTTGTTTGTTTCTTAAGCTTTTGTCATGTATACAGCTATCTTATGAATGAAAATAACATCAGCCTTCTTCGGTGTATCAGCCAGACTAACTCTTTTGTTTCCAAAGTATAAAGAAAGCTTCAAAATCCCGTATATACAATACGTTCGATATATATCACACATAAAATATACAATGTCCGATTGTAGTCAAATTTAAGTGCAGAGATGCCAAATTTGGTTTAACTCAAAATCTATGTAAAGCTAAGGCAAGCAATAAATAATTTTCTTGCATTTGGTCCCTTCGTAACATGTTTGATGATAAATACGTCCTAATATAATGTTGATTGGGGGTGGAGGTGTGTTGTTCCGGGTATCTATGGTTCCATCAGATTTGCACTTGACACCCCTTCTCTGGATGCGACGTCCCTGTTGGATTCTCGGTTGGACCTTGAGCGCCTGTGAACAAAGCAACATGTCAGAAGCTTTGACCGAGAGGACAAGGAGGACAATATCTTATACAAAACAATATCTAATGGAAACCTAAGGGTAACATTTCCAAACAAATACATAAATTCGAGTGGTCTTGCCTAACAAACTACAGCTACTCTGTTGATTCTTAATCAAACGCATTCATCTGTATATGGTGACCAGCCCCTTCTGTCCTGTAACTTGCAACATAATGTCACATAACGCCACAGGGCGTCTGCTACAGCACCAGTTACCATGGTGACGGACCCTCGGTCCAGGTCATTGACCTTATGTGTTTTGAGATGAAAAAAAAAGAAGAAGCAGAGCAAAAAACAATATATTTTACTTCAGCGAAGGTAAACATCGTAATCTTTATCATAACACTCTTATGTTGTCAGCAAGTAAATAAACTAATATGTCATCCCAACCACCCTTACCTGCAGAAGAAAGCCGCAGCAGGTATGACCACCAGGACCAGTAGCCCCACCAGGACACCGATGACGACGTAACAGTTCAACAACGCCTTCTGCACGGAGTCTTTTCTGGAGTAGTCAAGGTCATAGAGCTGGCAGCGCTCACCTCGTTTCCAGGGGGGACAACTGGTGAAAACCACGGCGAAAAATTATAGAGGGGAAGGGTCTTAGATGACCTACGTGGAGTATTAAGTAGAGTGGATTCATTCCTCAAACTTAACAATGCCTCACTCTACCTAGACTGCATACTAGGTCCTCTAAGGATACAAGATCCATGTGGCTAAGATTCAGCCAATGGTCTCTAACGACTAATTCGACGTTTGTCACAAATGTTTCTTGGACATCATTAGCTGTCCACTGTATTCCAGTGAATTTTGTTATGGTTGTCTTTGATATTATAAAAGACTGATCATCATACATAATTCATCTGTATTCATCATACATCTGTATTCATCATACTTATCATCATACATCTCTATAAGTGCATAACAGTGAAAATCAGGCTTACATGCAACTTATCCTCTGGTTTGGGTCCGGGTGATCCATATACCTGCACGTTCCCTCGAAACAGTAAGTATCATACTTCGGGGGACATGTCTGGAAATGCCCGGTGGACACTGTTGTCGAAGTGACTTCCTCACCTGGTATAATAGTCATAGGTCAAATAGGTGCACAGAAGGGATCAAATTGCACAACATTGACATATACTAGTACATGCAATACAATATACGCCTTTGCCTTGGAATCAGAAATGACATAAATACCGTAATTTTGGGAATACGAAGTTCAACATACTTCTAAGCCTGAGAGGACGAGTAAGAAATATGTAGTGATTTTTTTTCTTCATAATCATTACACTAACCTGTGCCATTTATATTCCTTTGGGACGTTGCATTCGGATGGAATGTTCCAGCCTGTGTTGTCGCTGTGAACAAGAAGGAAAATTCAAAGTATTCAAATAACGCTCAGGCTTGAATGGTAGGCTTGAATCAAATTAGAGTGAATCGACGGAAGCAACCCCGACAAATATTTATAGTCATAGTGTGTACACTAACGTTATTTTCTACTTTTATATTTCTAAGATTTTAACAATGTCAATGTGTGTCAAATGTCTAATGTCTAGTCAACATCCTTTACCCTGCGTGTCGTTAATATGCAGAAGTGGGAAGATTGCGGGCACTGGGCCAAGGTCAGCCATCGGCCGTCGGTTTTGGTGGGAGGCCCCAAGTTGGGTGTGTGTACAAGTAAACCACAACAGAAAATACTACAGCTCATACTAGACATGAAACGAAAAAGGATGCCGTGTTTAAACGATCTTTCATGTCAAAGGAACATTTTTTTGCTCTAGAATTGACATCTCTTATGTCAGTTCTACTAGTCTCTTTGTCAACCAACAGACGAACGCCCGAGTTCCGTTTGGGAGGGTACCGGACTTGTCTGTTTACGTATATATGGGAGGAAATACCAGGAAACTACCGCACAATTGGTCTACTAGGAAAACAACGTCCCCGCGGAGCTTTTTCGCGGAAGGCGAGATAGCCCTCAAACAACCCCGGGCAGCCAGTCGCGGTTGCGGGTCACCACATCTGAGACCCTGCCACAGCGAGTAACGCTAGGCAGGGTGACTGTGGGGGATTAGTGTGGGCAGCAGCAAGTCTATTACGGGTTCTTACTATTTGATACGGGTTACAATGAGAGCTTTGCATTGGTGTGATAGTATCTGTGATTACTGAAAATATAAGGCAAGATCATCTGATTTTACGTCGAACCAAGATGAACATTGTCACGAAAGTTTCTACGTAACAATGTGACGTAATAAGCGTTTGTTCTAGTACTGTCGCCGTCGTCCTCCGGTCCCGAGAGACCAAACAGTCATTTTATTCAAGACGCTTTGAAATGATCTTGTCAGTAGAAGTTCTATTTCCGGCCATGCAGTTTCCATTTTCAAGGAAACCCTCCCGACTGGTTACGTTTGCTTATTTGATTCATATTAGATATTGAAACGTAGACATTTTACGTTTTGGCAACCAACATTATATGTGTAGTCGTCTGTTAAAACATTTGGACAGCTCCGCAGTCATTCTAAAGAATGAAGACGCACGTCTCTGGTAGACATAGAGGAGTCATTGGGTTTTTTGTCTAGCCTGAGGTACCGAAGACCGTGAACCAACAACAAACAAAATAACAATGCTGTACGTGCAGGGCTGGCGAAGTATAGTCACTCATGACGGAAACATGCCGACGAGCAAAAACTGACAACACGTCGAAGAATGTGGAACGAAGACACATAAACTTTTCCTTCAATAATTCCAGTCTAAAGACTAATATTAAATCCTAATCGACAATACCACAAAGTAGAATGGGGTCCAATATACGGTGAGAACCCCTAAAGTTGGACAAATGTCATGGACACAAAAAAGCAATTTTGTTGTGTATTAGGTCTGTAAGAGATCTTAATCGTTGTTTTCTAAACTTCTCTACTCCTTCGACCAATTCCAAACACACGGAATGGCTCGCACATACCAGGGAAGGCTTGGTCATGGCTGAAAGAAATACGTAGCATTGGTGGCGTATTAAAAAGCCCCACCTGACACTGACATTCATGACAACTCACCTTCAAACTGGGTCGTGTTAGACGTGTGTGACGCTGCTGCGTTTGTCGTCTGTGACTGTGCGAACTGCGTACACAAACACAGGGCGATCCAGGCCCCCACCAAGTACGGCATGCTGTCTCGTACCATCTTCTAGTCACGGAGAATAGGACTGACGACGACTGCCTGAAAACGCTCCAACTATGCCGTGGTGCAGGAAAGTCAAGCCAGGTGCTGACAATGCCTTGTGTTGCCCCCTAAACACGGAGATCGTCGCAAAGTTGTCACGGTCGGCAACAAACTGTGCAAAAAGTCTTGCAGGCAGCGGATTTATAAGCAGCGACTACCTGCCGGTGTGGTACACTCATCGCTAAAAAGTTACTCAGAAAGTCCGGCTTCCGGGAACAGTCCAGTCGGAAGACGTCACAAAGATGTTCCTCCGTAGAAAGGGATCGTCTCGGTTACCATGGCGGGAGAACAATTAAAAACTTGTGGGTGGAGCTGAGGGGTAGGGCAGGACATTGACTCCTTGGGGAGCCACAGGATATTCGCCTGAACAAGCGTTATCTGGAGAATCTGGAAAATTCTTTGTAAACATTGCAAAACTGTTTGTTACGCCTTTCATGTGGGGCACTGACAACAAGCAGCGTGCCTTCTTACACACAACAAAGACACTGTCCCATCCTTCAACCATCAAGGTTGGGTACAGTGTGGTTAGAGGAGGGGACAAGAGTTCTATTCTGTCGAAATTTCATTGGCACGTGCACAGATTGCTTTCCTATATCTAGTTTCTGTGACGTTCATTCAATTAGGCCACACCGACTTATTTGTTATGAATGACATCCTCTGAAGACCCCCAAACTAGTGCGCGCGGGCGAATGAAAAAAAATTCCCGCCAAAAAAAAAATGCTACTAAACCACAGGAATACAAAGCTGGTATTGTGAATTTGCGACAGTACACAGCGACGTATACGACAAGTGGAATTTATGAATCGACACTGTGCGTATGTACTGAGTTCATGAGTCGTGGAGCTTCCACAGCCTGGGTGCCGTCCTCCAGAGTTACCACCGACTCCGTATTGTCGCTAACTACCATGGACTGCCCAGGCCTAGAACCAGGCCAGAGCGTCGGAGGACGTGATGTTTTTAGAACAGGCGAAAATCAATGCGCGCGCGGATGTCATCCATAAAATTAAGACAGTGTGGCCTTATAGCCTCTGCTCCGTGGGAACTTCCGCTGGCATGTGATTTACTTGCTGCCAGCTATAGTCCATTGTCCATGTAAACACAGGAATGCTTTAATAGACAATTTGTAGAGGTCTAATTCCTCATTGTATTTGCGGTCACGGTTCCAGCTAGTAACCGTAGTCCCTGTATTATTCTTGGATGGGCTCGGACCCCCGTGGCTTCGTTTCTGCATTTTCCTTGAGCCCACATTCACACATTCAGAGAACCTTCCCCCTAACACCAGTCGACCAAGGTTGGCTTTAGTTCGGGAAGTCAAGTAATTGAATCGAATATTAGCTAGATTCGAGTCACATTTCACTGCAAACTACGCCCTAGCCTTCGTAGCAGGCTTATAGAACTGGGGGTTTGGTGGTCTTCGGCTGTTTTCTGATTAGTCGAGTTAAAAAAACGGGAGTTCAGCAGTGTTCAGTAGGCTATGATATGTTCGTGAAGGTGTGACAGGGGCTTTACATATCTAGCCTCGAAGCAAGTCCAATGACTTGTTCACACTAGTCACACGGGATCAAAAAATACTCTGATCAATAAATAGTTACTGTAGCATAGCAATCTTTATTTTGTCACAAACAAACCAGGAGGACAAGATGCTCCTATGTATCCATTTATCTATTTACAAGTACTGCTAGTACTGGACTTATCATTGTCACAGCGGTAGGTTTGCAGTTCACTAGTAACAGTTATCAACATGTAGCAAATATGCATTCTTTTACAAATAGCCAGATTTTGATATTCGGGATTTAAAAATGGGAGCAAAAATATAATTTTCTGTACACCTAAGGCGATTCCCTACTACATTAAGGCAGAAAAACTAGCATCAATACCAACCTGCAATAGAGCTAGTCGTTAACAAAAGTACAGTTCAGTTGAACATATTTACATGATATGTAGATACGAACGTTTAGATTAATATGTACATATCTGAAGACACACATATCACGAACGTCCGTTAAAACGATAGGTTTTACAAAATATAGACAGAAATAAATATTTCATATTTTCCTCTGAATCTTGAGTACGTCTTTGGCAGCATGTACGTGCATTTTGTTGGGCCCCTGTAGAAGAAAAAGATGATGATACAATCAGTGCATTGTATATTTAATGGTCTTTGCAAACACAGGATCAAATGCCAACCAATAGTTATTTCTAGTATTGCGTTTTAAAACACTTACCTATACTATTGTAGTCACTGCTTTGTTAGTTGGGGATGTCTCTCCGAAATGTGGTTTCTGCTCTCCTTCATATTCTTCTTCGTGTTTGTTTCGCCTGCAGAAAAAGAACATTGTACTTTATTATCTGTGTTCTGAATTTGACTGAGAAGAAAGCAAGCAGAGCGAGTGAGAATCGACTGATAAGTAACAAGCACAGAGGAGTTGCCTGGACAGTAGTCAGATCCGTAAATAGTTTCATCAGGTTGGTAAGTCACTGAGTAAAGAAACTCTTTTTTTGTACACAACCTGTAATCACGTATATGTGTAGATATGTAAATATTGTACATTTGGGAATGCATGTATGTTGTAGAATATAGTATAATGCTAGACGTAGATATAGTCTCACATACCACTGTATTTTCTTTCTTATGTCGTTTGTAACTGCAATTAGCCCTCGGGCAAGTATTTGTAATAAACTTTCATTTTCATTATACAATAATTCAAATCATAACAAGTAAAATCTGAGATTTTCTATAGCAGCGACACCTGTGTTGCAATGCAATGTGAACCAGTCAGAATTGCCCTGAGGAAGGTGACAGACGGTCACCGAAACGTCGGCTGAATAAAAGACTTAGTTGAGTAAAAAGAGTCTCTTTATTCAGTAGTCATAGTAGAAGTTGACTGACGATGCCGCCACGGTGGAATAAATAGAAACAAGAGCTTCTGTAGCAAAATTTTCTAAAGAACTTGGCACCTAACCTACAATGGCAAATGTTTACTTAAGATCTTTATTTAGCACAATAGGTCGTCTTGTAAAGTATTCAAGGTATCAGTGTCGCCTGGCACGATTTGTTTAGGGAAAACAGACGTATTGGGGGCAAAAATACCTGGCCGGAAAAGGGTAATAAATCAAGACTTTTATCTTACCACTGCTGTCTGTTTCACTTAATGAACATTTAAGGCATCCAGACATTAAGTGCAGTTTTTGGGATTGGTAACTCGAATTTTCAAAGTCAATAGTCACTTATTTACACACAGAGTTGAAACCACATTATCCCAATGTACTAGTATGTTGACCCTCGTGGAGCAAAAATTCCCAAAATTCTCACGGAGAATGGTTACTGGAAGGGCCCTAGGCTGATTTTTAGGGCACCACCCAGAAAATAAAGGACTCATCTTGGGGCTTGTTTCTGCAGTTGTTGAAAGCCCAAAGTATGAAATACTGACCTAAATAATGTGAAGCAGTATGTGCCAATATCACAAAGATTGCCTTATTCAGAATATTTCCAGTTTTGCTGTCCTGAAATCGCATTGGATGTCTTTAACAGAGCAGTACACGGGTGCATTTACCTGCAGAAATAAACCACTGCGGCGACTGTAGCTATGAGCAGGAGTCCTCCCAGCACCCCGACGACAATGTAAACAGCTTGGACCTTGCCCTCAGGCCCTCGCTGAGTCTGAAGATGGCTGAGCCCACATCGTTCTCCTGTCCTGTCTGGTGGGCAACTGGAAATACAAAACAGGAGGGCATTTCTACTGTGTTTACAGACAAAGCTCTCTCTTCAGTAGAACTTTTCATCATCATCATCACCACCATCATCACCATCATAATCACCACTACCACATCACCATCATCATCATCATCATCACCGTCATCATCATCATCATCATCATCATTACCACCACCACATCATCATCACCATCATCATCATCATCACCGCTTCCAACTGTTATCGATTTGGCCCACCACTGCTTTCTGCCCTCCTGTCTATCACTTGCTATTAAATATGTTTGTTTGTTGCTGTATAGTACATGTATATGCCGTTGTTCTTTGTCACATACAACACTGGGACAATCTGGTCAAGGTTTAGACATCTTTACATCATCCACCTGGCAGATAGATATCGGGTTGTGTTGTACTGACCTGCACCTGATGGCCTGTGCTTCCGGCAGCCCGGGTAACATGGTACACGTCCCCCCGTTCAGGCAGTAGCCTCCGTGGCTAGCTGGGCACTCGTCGTACTCAACTCCCGGATCTAAGAAACAAGAAAAAAAATCTTTAAGATTTGTCCTGAGATACAAGAACCAAAGAAGACCGCTATCGTATAAACATATGCACGTGAATAGGTAAAAACGTTGAACGACGTCACTTGTGAGAGCGATTAATTTTTTTTCCATCGTAAGCAAACCCTATCGACCATGGTTTATCAGGAAATAAGAAGCAAAACAATCAGGACCATAAAATATAAAGTTGCGCGGAAATAGTACCTATAACCCTACTCTCCAAGCAGAGGTTGTGGGGTGAATGATCGTTAGCTTTTTATACATGGCCCGTTCATTTTTGTCGCTACCCCCACCAACGTTGGGTCGCGAATGGACCCTCTCTGGCCAATTGGATACTGCCTGGCATTTGATACTGTATTTTTGCCACCCTAGGATCTGCTTGGAGATTACTATAACCCCACCTTCTGGATCTATCGGCCAACCTTCTACTTTATTTTTATGATATTTCTGTCCTCCCTCTTCAAGGAAATGACCCCAAACGTTAATTGAAAATCAAGTTGCTCTTTGTCATGGTAGGGTTTTATGACGAGGATTTCCGCACGTAAAGGCTGTAAAATGTACATGGTCCCGTCGTGTCTGTGGGAACTTTACGACTCCTTTCCTGTCCGTGATTGTAGTCCGTGTCTTTTTCACACGCCCACTTGCATACCTGACATGCCCACCTGTGCACACCGCAGGTGTTTGCCTACCGCTATCTATTTGTCGACACAGCAAAAATCATCCACCGTACTGTACAATACCTGGTAAAATAGACCTCGTGCTTTTCGTGGAATAGGACAAGGTAAATGTAAATCTTCTCTTTGACGGTCTCGTTGAAAAAAAATTGCTGTTTTCTGCAAGGGTTTCTTTTTAATGCTAAAATCGCCCAAACTGTTGCTCGTCTTCTTAGCCTGGGTGCCATCCTCCGTGGTTTTGTCGCTCGCTAACTCTGTGGTAGCGAGCGACAGTAGGGAGCCGCTGGCGACTACGGAGGATGGCACCCAGGCTATCTTCGAATTCTTCAAAGCAGTTTAAATTTAGAAGTACCAGTGATTTACGTCACAAGAACAAAGTCTGCCAAAACAACAATCACAGCACTAGTAACGATATTTGCTGAGGTAGACAAATAATCAAGTCACGTCTTCGCCAAAGATATCGATAGTGAGACCTTGACACAAAGTTCTTCTTGAAGTATTTGTTCATAAGTAAGTAAAGTCTGGGCATATCAGAGGGTCTCTCGAGGGTCTCGTTTGATCTTGTTAGTACAGAATTAAATATTAGCGTTATCTTGTTTTCTTGTTTGGACAGCGTCGCTGCTTTGCAGACAAGGATCTAGAAGCTTAAGATACATTGAGAAAACATGATACGATGGTGAACAAAACGGTATGGGTGGGAACATAAGCTCCGATATCTTGGAATTCATGTTTTACCTTGAATTCGAACGCCAGATGCTTACAAAAATGTCATGACAAGGCCATGACAACCAAGAATTTGAGACTACAATAGTTTTAGGGTTTGTTCAGGAATAAATGACGGCTTGGGAAACATTTGAGGTCTATCAATTAACATTACACAATAGACGGCCACTTTAGATTGCTTCGGACGATTAACGTTGATAAATGGTGGAACTTGCGATTGACCGGCAAAGCCGACCGCTAAAAGGACGTCTCATGCCATTGTGCCTTTTGAAGTATGAACCTTTTTAGCTGGCACGGGGTTAAGACAAGAAAAGACGGCGTTTCGTGCATTCAAAAGAAAGAATTTTGAAGATATTTGGGCATGACTTAAATGTATTGTTATTTGCCATAACCGTGAGAGCCCCTCCCCTTCTACAGGCTATGTTGCCCCGCTACTTGCTTGTGTACAATTACTTCACATGGGTATGGGTTGTCTCAAACGTGCCTAACTTTAAGTTACCTCTATCTGGGAAACGCTAAGGAAGCAGTAGATCAGTTTAAGTCCTTGGCACTCGTTCTCAAACGCTGGAAATGGGAGAAACAACTGTATGTGGCCGATATGTCTACGTCAACACGATGCGCAGATGTTAAACTAGAAGGCTGCTTCAGATAGAAAGAATTATCGAGTCTGACTCGCTTCAGAGTAGTATGATTCCAGATATGACACAGTCTACAGGCTTATAGAGAGTTTTATCAAGGAGCTTCTAGATAGACTCCACAGTAGTAGTTTTCTGTCAGGTCTTACCTTGTGAAAGCACGTGCACTAAACACAGGCACAGTATCATCAACCTCAGGTGCTTCTTAAGAACTGTCATCGTCGTCTTCATTTCTGTCGCTAGGATTTTGAACGGCAGGTTGAGATATCTTCTCACAGGGGTTCTACTGCGGTCTTCCTTCGGCGGCTGTGCGATCTGATATGGCGGCAGAGAGTTGCTTTCCTCGTGCGTACGTGTTCAACGTGCGTGTCGCCTTTGGTCGCCAAGACGTGTCTGTTGAACTAGCTGCGGTCTCCACACACTTATAAAGTGTTCCTTGACGTCTTTAAGTCAGCTGTTTTGCGGCAAGGTGGTCTCTCGAGCTCGAGGTTAAGTACTTCGTCGTAAAACGGACGTCCGTCTTCCGGCGTGGTTTAAGGGCTGATCGTTCCTTTGTTATGAGAGAAAATATGTTTTTTTTAAGCGCTGGGCCCCAAAGTTCACGCGGGGAGGCTATTGATGGCGTTCATGGGAACACCTTACTCTGCATTGGCAAGAAATTCAGCAGGTGGCGCGTTGGACGGTTTATCGCTTTCTTATCGTCCTTTGTTTTTTTTCTTCACCAACACATAACAATACAATAACAAGGACCGTGTGACACTGCACTCAAGTTTTTAAACGTATTTTATCCTTTATTATAGAGCGCTAACCGGATATTCCATAAGACTGACAAGACTGACCAAAGGTATATTGCTGGGCTTGGTGAAATGCCACTATTATACACAACACCTCTACTTTAAATGTTGACAGGAAAACAGATTTCAAATCTGTGATATTTTTCCCTTTCCAAATGGCTCAACGCTCAGTTTGTGTTTCGGTGGAATTCAGATATGGCATCCCAGTGCACTAGCACATCTTCCAACTACCGGTTTTCTTGAAAACCCCTAAGCTACCCTTCCACCTGTTTGTCGCGCAGACGCACCGGGTCTGTAAGCAGACGTGTGATACGCCTGAAGTGGTGTGACGTCACGGGGATGTCCCGGCGACCCAGCGACCATTGATCCCTCCCTGCTAATAATGTCCACTGCAGACGTCAGAACACATTCCAAGGTGTGGTAGCGGAACACTTATGTATTGTTTGATTGACTCCTATTCTGACCGTTGGTGATTCACAGCGAAATCTGACATTTGCTATTCTAGGAGACAGGTAATCTGTTTATAGCACGTGTATCCACCCTCTTGTTGGGAGGGGATCAGTGCGGATTTTTACGTCATAAAATTCTTACATGTCTTTTGAGGTAAAGGTAGTTCAGCTTGTTCTGTCTAGCATTAACCAATATGACTGATGCCTTGCACCTATGAGTATTTCCTGATTTTGAAAGACGTCTAAACTACGTCATGCCAGCCTATATCATCATAAGGGACTTAATTTTTTGTCACTTTACTACTTGCAATGTTTGCCGTCTATTATACAGTTTACTTTACCCTTCATATAGTTAATCACGATTTTGCTTCTGATGCGTTTATTCGTCACCATACACAAACTGCATGATGTTGTCAATCAACATACATGTATATCTTACTCTCCAAGCAGAGGTTGATGGGGGAAGATCGTTAGCTTTTTATACATGGCTTAACTTCAAGTACCTAACTTCGGTTATGGACGTTCTTTAGGATGAGACGCAATGCTGGAAGTCCTGTATTTCAAGTGAGGAGACCCAAAAGTTTGGCAAAAGAACCCACCACACACGAAAAAGATCAGACACTGGGATGCATCTAGGTGTGAGTAGACTGAAATGGAATCGTGTGGCACAATGGTTGTGTGTCTGTTTTCCTCACTTCACTCAGGTGAAATGAGTTTCTTAGGTTTAGGGTGGGTACATCAAATATTACAGTCTCCGGGTTGACATCTTCTAAATTCTTCCACAAGTGTGGCAAATCTCAAAACAACAGATAAGTAAAGACTGTTGTACATGAGTGGAAGTGTTTTGGAAGTGGTAAATTCTTTCAAGTACCTCGGCATAATTGTGGACAGTGAATTGAAATGGAACTATCACATTGATCATGTCTTATCAAAATTGAAACGAACACTTGCAGTAATGCGCCAGGTCCAACCATTCGTAAATCAGGCTGCTCTTGTCACTTTATATAATTCAATTTTCTTACCACATTTAACTTATGCATGCACAGTATGGGATGGAGCGATTTTGGTGCAGTACGACAAGCTGCAAAGAATCCAAAACAGGGTGGGAAAACTTATTCTGAAAGCTCCATATAGAACACCATCAGCAGAAATCCTATCGCGCCTTGGTTGGAAGACTGTGAAGACTATACATCAACAACAAAAAGCTCTGCTGGTGTATAAGGCCTTGAGAAATGCATTACCACCATACATGAGACGAGTCTTCAGCCTGAGAAGGGATGAAGTGGCACGGAATACCAGATCAGCTTCTACTGACTGTCTCATCCCTCCGAGGCCGCACTTGGAAGCTTACAGAAGAAGCTTGGCTTACTCCGGCTCAGTGGTATGGAATAACATCCAGCCCCACATTAGGGCAGCACCATCCATCCATACCTTCAAGTCACTTATGGAACAGACATAACTGGGACTCACCATGGACTTGAATTGGCTACGAACCTAATGATTTATTTGTGAACTTATTTACTTACTTATTGTATTGATTTAATTACTTATTATTTATGTTTGTATTGATTTGGTTCTTATCCGTGACCCCTCCCCTCAACTTCGACCTTGTTGAAAAGCGGCCTTGCGCCGAACAAGCATTCGAAGGAAAATAAAGGCTTTGACTTGACTTGACTTGACTGTACATTGTCTTCTGACTACTCGGTTCCCATGAAGGGATTACCTCATCCGCCCCCATTCTAGCTCTTCTAGCTCTTTTAGTCTTTAAGCGGATTTTTGTGGATTACCGACCTATGAAGAGTATCATTGTTCTTCCCAGGTGAGCGCAGAGAGAAAGTAAGCCCTCCCTGAGGCGAAAAACAAATTGGATCTTTTCTGAATTCTTGTAGTCATATACCATCCTTTTATTGTGACCTGCCCTTAACCCAGCTATATAAGTGGGTTTGTGTGTGCAATAAAGGTCTTCATTCATTCATTCATGATTCGGGCGCCGGGCAGAAATACACCGGAAGGTTGATGAAAGTTACCTGGAAAAATCCACTCCCTGGTTTTATTAAGTCAATGACCTTGTTCTCAAAATTTTCTGTATTTCATTTCATAAACCAAAGAGTAAAGAAGATGAGAACTGAGAGAAAACAACTGCAACCTGCTGGTTATGTAAGGAGGGGGAAAACTGTGCACATTTGGACGGCGATGGAAACCTGACGAAAACTTACTACGAAAACAACTTCTGCAACTTGTTACCATAACTGTATAAGCTATAACTAGCCTCCACCAGGCCTAGGCCTTTCTACGGGAATTCGGATAGTAGAATTCGGCAAAAAGAAGAGTAAAATTGGCCAAGGGAGGTAGTTTCTTTACGCGGTCAGTCAAACCTACAACTCGGGCGGCCAAACTCCCCTGGCACTTGAATATTCTCGAGCTCCTATATGTAGCCAGCGTAGTTAGTCTGGTACAGACTAATAACTATAACCACACACTTAAGTCTGAATATTAACTTCAAAAATTGAGTCTACTACACTGAACGATTTGACCCTTTCAGGGTCCCCCAAGTGTTGCCGTGTTGGTCAAGAATGCAGAACTCTCAAGACAAACGGATTATGGCAACAGTCACACATTCTCCACATGTACAACTATCTGGGTTGTATTGTCCTGTGTAGTATGTGTGTTTGTCTTCATGTTGAACTCAAAATGTTGTTCTTTTCCTGTCTGAACATTCTTCCAAGTCGTGCGTACGTGTACAGGTACATTTTATCACGTGAGAAGGGATAGGCAGGGTTGGCCCCCTGGTCGCTTGCACTCATCCGAAAAGTGCAAAATGACAAAACAATAGTTTTCTCACGTCATAAGCTGTGCGTAAGCCAATGCTTTGTTACTAGTATTTAGCACTTGGCTCAGTTGGTTTATAATTACGTGGGTGCAGGAAGTTGAGGGTCCGACGGAAGGGCGAGTGAGAGCGAGTTTTGCCGAAAGCAGACGGCTACACGGTTCGTAAAGCCTCGGGAAATTCCGGAAGGCGAGACATACTCAGTAAAGAGTAGAATGAACTTGACTGACCTTCAAAGTTACCGAATTTATTAGTTACAAGTACATGTAGTACAAAAACATGACAAGAAATTTTACTTTCAAGAAAGAAAACTGCTCAAAATTGAGCAGTTTTGTAGTCGGGCGAACAGGACAAACTGAAGAGGAAATGAACCAGAATGATTTTTTGCGTAGAATTCATGATCAACGAACAACTTAGTAATCAAAGAACCTGAATTTTAATAATATCGAGAATACAGCAAATAGCATACACACATGCTGACTTGACTTTAATCTTCTTAGAATACAACGATCAGCTTATGAACTTAATGAATTTCCGACGTCTTTTTCTATCCACGCACAATGTACACAACATAAGAAGATAATGTCTTGAAAAAAAGTTACAAAAGCAAAATTAATACAGTTTTAGCATATTGAATTCGAAGTTGATAAAAATAATCATGTCCATATAAAGCAGGCTACATTTTATAGTATTGTCAATTAGTCACGTTTTGAAAAACGACATCTCAGCTACCTTCGACAGTATTCAATACGGACAGCCCACTCGTGTAAGTACTAATTAGTCATTGGGGTCTATATATTGGGGTCTTGGAATCAAAACCCTACATTGTGAACTAAACAATTGAACAAGAAGCCATAGGTGACAATCCTCCGTGAAGTTTTATATATTTCAACAAAATCCCAAGCGTCAACGCCAGACCTACTGTGCAGACATTATAATTAGGCACGGTTAATACAATGAGGGCGCGTCACAAGCATAAAATATAAAAAGAGCTAAATCCATTACTGCTCCCAGGGCGTGTAAAGATACTGTGCTTCAAGTTCGAAGTTCATTTTAATTACACACACACAATCATTGCATTCACATAAAGATCGGACTATCGTGGTCGTGTCTAGTAACAAACACAGTCCCACCGTCTTACCGTGCCTGTACCTAATTAAGCGCGCCTGGAACAGGGCAAAATCCAGCAACAGTTGCGGTAAGCACCGCGAGTGTTACTACCGCCGGCCAGATAACCAGGATATCTGCTTACAGTACCTCTGCTACCAGACAACTGCCTAAACCTACGGCCTATTCCACAGGATTGTAAAAGTAGGAATGTTTCTAAAATATGCATTTACTTCAATATCAAAACAGCTACGGTAAAAATAAAAAGACGTGCATCATCCCGGACATAATGCCACACCACATGCGAAATTACATAGAAATGCGACGTACGGAAGAATGCGTTTTGGCTGCGAACATCTTCCAAAAAACTTGGCATCTCTTAAGCATGGGCAAAAGCATCTGGAACCACTTATCAAAACCACCCCGTATCTGCATGAAGTTCCACCCCCCCACTGCTATTCCAAACAACGCGTTTTTCTGGACCATTCCAATTCGCCTCGTAATTGTAGGGGTGCGTCTGCAATATTACATTGACCGCGAAAGCAGCAACGGCAAAAATACACATTCGTGCATCAACACGGGCATGCCCGCAGACGGCGTATAAAATTGCGTTCCGATTACACAAAGAGAACCCAGTGTTTTGACTGCAAACATGAAAAATCAGCCGATCACAACACTCCGTCCGGAGGTCCTGACCTCCTTCACGGAGTAATTAACCTGTGTCTTGCTGTCTTGCTAGCTATATAGGTTTTGAATTCCTGTCCAGTAGTCTTATTAGCGTAGTAAAGAGTGCGTTTCCAGGACGATTTTCCAAATAATTTGCTGGTCTTTTCTTATATATAGTAAACCAACAATATCATTTTCACGACGTACATTCAGGAAGAATGTGATTTTTCAGAAGTCCTGCAGAACGATACTTTGTGGTGGTTGTTTCCCGTGGTGGTATCCATGTGGGGAGCGGTAGGGGTACGTCACAGGATTCATGTAACCATGGTAACAGAACTGCGCGTGCGCAGGAAGAACGGGCGAACCGCACGGACAGGCGCGTCGGCTGCTGTACCCGCTCGATCTGGTAGGGGGCGCGTAGAACCCGTGGCGTCGTGTGCTTGTATCTGTACAGGAAGATATTTTCTTCATTGCTGATGATCTTCATAGAAAGGGGTAGACGTAAGTAGTGCAAACATAAAACAAACTTAATCTTTAAATGGATCACATGAACCTAGCAAGCACGTTCCAAGTGTTGATGTAGCTATAGCTGTCATTGAAATCATGTTCTTATTCAGCTGAATAAGAACAGAGACATAATACCTTTAACGTTTGACTGTTGAAAATTACAAGTTTCTGTAGATCAATATGGTTTATGCAATGAATGCGCTATTCATATGCTTCTCAACTTATGTTGCAGCTAGGTATTGAACTAAATTTATATTGAACCTACACTGCATTCTCCTGACGCTACCGAAGCTGTCCCTGTCGTCTTCTTCGTCGCTCTCTTCTCCCGCCCCGGTCTTGGTTCTGCATCGCTTACAGCACCACCCAGCGGCCAACAGGAGAGCTACAAGGAACAGGGTAGCAACCACCGCAAACCCGAGCTGACTGATCAGGCTGGAAGACAAATCATTGTACGTGTTAAAAATATATTTTCCTTGGTGTCATCCTAAGTACAAGTACAAGTACAAGTACAAGTACAGGTACAAGTACAGGTACAAGTACATCAAGTACAAGTACAGCAAGTACAAATACATCAAGTACATCAAGTGCAAGTACATCAAATACAAGTACATCAAGTACAAGTACATCAAGTACATCAAGTACAAGTACATCAAATACAAGTACATCAAGTGCAATTAAGTACAAGTACATCAAGCAATTCAAGTACAAGTACATCAAATACAAGTACATCAAGTACAAGTACATCAAATACAAGTACATCAAGCAATTAAGTACAAGTACATCAAGTACAAGTACATCAAGTACAAATGCAAGTACATCAAGTACAAGTACATCAAGTACAAGAACATCATGACAAGTGCATCAAGTACAAGTACAAGTACATCCTAACCTTAGTGGCAGGCTGGGTTGGTCGCAGTCGGTGCTGATGAGACTTGAGTTGTCCCGGCAGCAGTACTTGTTGTCACACGCCCCGCAGCAGTATGGGTACACGTCATCGTCACAGCTGAATTCTGGGACATATGTTCCCGCCGGATTGTAAAACGGAGAACAGGTCCTCTGAGGCTGCTGGGGCTGGGCCTGCACGACTGAAGAAATACAGAGAAATATTATCGAAATTTTATCAATCATATCTCATATGGATATTTTACATCTGGTGGTTTCCGATAATTTCATATTTTTCAAACGTGAAGATCTGAATTATAACTTTATTGCTTTATACAACTGGAAACAAAATTGTCCTTTTAATATTATATGCATCTATTCAGTATTGCTTCCGTAGGGCAAAGAAGCTGATATGTCTATTTTGTTTATGTTTAACTTCAGATTACGAACGAACTAGACGTGCAACATTTTTGTTTTCCAGTACTTAACATTATTGTCTTCAAAACAGTTTACAATATCCTGCCTATTTCAATATTGGCAAAGTAAGCTTCATGTCAAACTGTTCTTGCACTTAATATTACAAGTATTCAATTATTAGTTAATGAATTGCAAAGTCATGATCAGTTAAAGCTTTAATCAAACGGCAAACAGAGCGTTTCATGTCGCCAGGATTTTCTCAGTCTCAGCCTGATATGTAGAAGCTTTTAAAAGACAAAACAGGGGTTTAAATGGCAACGTTAAACATATCACACAGTAGCCCTGACATGGTGCCCTTCATGAGGACTAGCGCACACTTAAATCATCTAGGAAGAAGAAAATGTATCTGATTCCTATTCTTATTTACTAAAAACAAAAGACCCATGCCAAAATGCTATCTAAATGAGCTTACCTCCATGTCCATACAAAGTTTTTCAAGAGATCTAGAATGAAGCTTTTAAGAACGACATATCTGACTCCTATCAGTTACTAAAACGAAAAGACGACCAGAATGCTATCTTAATAAGCTTACCTCCATGTTCATACAAAGTTGACGAGACGAAAGACAGAAAAACAAGAAGATTAGTGAGCTGCACCCGCCTCCTCTCCATATTACCACTGGCACTGTTTAGTAGTTGTTAGCACAGTCGAAGTTCAAGTTTGCAGGAACTTCAAATTATTCATCAAATGGTATATTTTTTACAATTCCCCGGCTGGTACAGCTATAGCCTGTATATACTGGCCCGATCGGTACCCGGTGCCAGTGGTGTCTGGCTACAAAGAAGTTGTAGTTCTAATCACGAGAAAATAAGGAAGAGGTAATCTCTCTAGTGAAGTGGAAACGCTTTTCTGTGGCAACTCGGGCCCACTCGACGCTAATCTCCGCGCCTTGTTGAGTGCAGTAATTGGGAGTTCGTGTATGGGGCACGACTGCTGGGCAAACACTAGATCTCTCACCGGCGTGGTCTGCCATTTCTCTCCGGGAGTTTACCGAGGCGACGGACGGTCTTGGTTGAGTTGAGCAATTGACGGCCAAGTTTGACCACAACAACTTGTGAACGCATGACGGACTCAACGAGAAGTACGACTTTGGAACAACAACAAAAACACATCGTGTTTTTAACTACAGTGAAGTTGTTTTGAAAAATCAGCTGAAAACTTTGAAGCTATGACGTGTCGATAACTTAACCCATCGTATCATATAGACAAGTCTTACAAGACTAGCAAAGAGTCTTTCCCCTACAGGGAGCGCGAATAAGATGATATCGTTTTTTCGTTATTTTTTTTTTAAATAATTGAGAGCTAGAGTACAATAAACAGCAGAAGCACATCACAAAGTCCTTCTCAATTACTGATATTTTTTCTGGAATTTTTTTTCAAACTTTACGAAGGTGTTTGTTCTTCACTGTAGTATCCCTCTTTCAAGTTACTTGATACTTTATTGGGATATCCATTAGTTGCACAATTTTTTGTGCAAGACCTTTATATAGTCTTGTACCCCTTACTTCTAAGTTATACTATAATGAATACTTTAACTATGCTATGTTCTACCCACGAAGGGGGGACCGAGAGCGCAGTGCATGAATTTACAAGTGTTGCAATGTGTTAGGAGACAACCCCCCATGTCCCCCTGTCCCCTGTGACAGGAAGTTGTCATAGGCACACCACATCTGTATCTTATTAGTTGTGAATAAAGGACTCAGACCACAGCGTCTGGGAGACAGTTCTAGCAGGCAGCCACTGAGTACGGACATCCTTCATAGCGTCTCCTTTCCTAAACCCTACATTGGTGGCCAGCGGTGTGTTGCCGCTTACGAGCGGCCGAACCCGTCCCTAGCCTACGCCATCGTGCTACGCCATGCCTCCTGAATCGCCAGGCGACGATTCCACCCGCCCGACTGCTGCTCGAGCTGCGCTACCATGCCTGCAACCGTCCGTTTAGCCAGCCTGCCGTCGTGCCATGCAGCCAAACGCCTGCCTAGCCAGCCTGCCGCCGTGCCATATCGCTACCCGACCCCACCCGACCGTCGACGTGCCACCGTCCCGTCCACTACACAGCCTGAGCTCGCTGACCGATCACTCCTGCCATGCAAGTGTCCAGCCATCTCTAGCCGCCGTCGCCGAGCCCGACACCACGCCACGTGTACAGGACCGTGCGCCCGCTCCTGAGTAGACCACGCTGCCGTCCTTCTGCGTCCGATCGTGCCAGCCCGACCAGCCCATGCTGCCGACG